GGGGGGGGGGGGGGTGATGGCAGCAGGGAACGGTTCACCCTTCCTCTCCCTGATTTTGCTGGGGCAGCAGGGAGTCCTGGAGGTGGAAACCCATCCCTGGCAGCCGCCAGAAGCAGCCAGTCACTCCCCTGGGAAACAGCCAGGGCTGCAAAGAACAGGTGCTTCCTTTCTCTCACCATCTGGGCATCCTGCTAGAGAGAACAAGACCTGCAGTCTCCCAGGCCAGCATTCTCCTGCCAAGGGAGAAAGGCGAGACTGCAGCAGCAGCTGCCCCTTGCTTCAGCTTTCCTATTCCAGCCATGGGCAGAGGCAGCTGGCAGCGCAGCCCTTGACCCCGTTTCCACCTGGGGCCGGCCGATGCACCTTATTCTGCCAAGGATAAGCAGGGTCAGCAAACCATCCTTTGCCATCCCTGGCTGCTGGCTGAAATCACTTTTGAGGAGCAGCCATTGGCCCCTCTGCCGATGGGAATGAGAATGTGCTAACTGGAGAGGGCACCACTCTTCCCAGTGCACTGCCTGGATAGAGAAAAGGCAATTGCGTGGAGGCCTCCATTGCTGAACTGCTGGCTTGGGAGCTCCAGTTTATTCCCTCTCATTCTGGGCAACATGGCAAGTAGATCCAATCCCAGTTATTGCTGTGGCCAGAGGAAGAGATTAGGGAAAACAGTCACTGCTCCTTCCAACCAGCAACTCTACTCATTCAGCTCCAGCAAGCTGTCTTCCCTTACCCTGTCCTGCTAAGTGTGGGTAAGATTGAGTTGGGAGGTGAACAAGGAGAAGAGGACTTGGGGACAACCAAGAACTTTCAGAAGCTTGGAATGGGCTCTGTGTTTCTAGTGTCACTTAGACACTTAGTTTCTAGTGTCACCTCTGCTTGGTGTCATAATCTTCACATCACATGTTGTTATTTTGACTAGCTATAATGTATACAAATGAGGAGGTGTACAGCAGCCACCCCAACATGCTGGAGAGGAATTCTAAGAATCCCAGTCCTCACACATCTGAGCGATGGCCAGTGGGAAAAGACAAGTGTGTAATATACATTTGCTTTTGAAGAACTGCTCTTAGTTTTACGAAATTATAACTAAGCTAAAATATTTAGGTGGCTGGTACCTCATCAGACACTCTTCTACTATTCTCTGCACTAGTTGCCCCATTGACAAGTTGCCTTTTTTGGAAAAGTATGACCTTTTACAGAGTGGGCATTCTGAATGATACTGTTTCCAGATTCAGTAACAGAAATGAAAATAAGGATGTTTATTTGACTGAAGCCAACGAATTTCTTGTGAATGAACAGAAACCACAGTCCATGAGGGTCTAAAAGCATTCCTATTGTCTTGCCAAAGGATGCATTTCTAGCAGTTATTAGGCCTTTCCTCCTTCCATTTGAGACATTCAGAATGGTATGAATCTGTGTAATTTCTCACACTTTATGAGATTGATTGATTATGTGCCATCAGGTTGTTTTCAACTCCTAGCGACCACGTAGATAGATTTTCTTCATAAACTTTATGAGAAGCAAGGCTGTACTTCTCAAAATACAGCCATGCTGTAAAATAGTCCCAAATGAGCTGGATGGGTATAATTTAAGCAGGTATACAAGCATTCCTACTGGTTCCATGAACTCTTTTTGGACCAGACAGTCTTATAATGATAGTATAGTGTTGGAAGGTACTCCAGACAGTATTTTATTCATATTCCCAATTCCAAAACATCAATAACTAGTATAAAATGGAACTGTTATGATGTCCATATCCATAAACATCCAGTTTCTTTGAACTCCTGAAATTAAAACACTTTTCTCACATTGAGGAAAACATGATGAAAAATTAAATGATCAAACATATTATTTTGCTGAAAAAGAACCAACATGACTTCTATAAGACTAACTTATAAAATGTCTTTGATTGTTAACTAGCATGTAAACAGGGTGATCCAATAGACACTGTTTATTGGACTTTCAAAAAGTGGTTTGACAAAATCCCCCAACAAAAACTTAGCAAAAAATCCTTTGTGGATCAATAATCCATAAGCACAGAAGAGGAACAGACAGTTTTTGTACTGGAGGGCTGTAAATAGTGGAATCCCTTTTTACCTTTTAACTTACACAGAAATGATTAGAAATTAATACTGCTGTAACAGAAAAAAAGATATAGCATTCATGTCCTCATAGGCACTGTGGGAAGCAATTTTACTCCTTAATATTCCTCTGCAAGTCTAGCATATGAGATAGCAGAATTGCACACTCTGGATCAACTTCCAGGGTCACAGTTACCCCATCGGTTCTACTTCCAATCTCTCTGCATTCAGCTACTTGAAAGTGTAGCTTACATTCATAATGATATGTACATTATAGGGTCTCCACATGATTAGGAGTTCTGCATAAATTTCCAGATTCCATGGAGAGCCTAAGCATATGTAACCTGTGCACACAGGCACCCCAATTCCAAATTTCATACTGAACATATGGATTGTACAATAACTCAGGTGGGGCCAGTGTGCAGTCTTGTGGCTTCCATTGTGAATTGGAAGTACGTCTGAAGTTGTTTGGGTGAATGCTTTGTTTCCATTCTCCCCTTCTAATATCAAAAGCGCATATTAATCTTCCACTGGATTCTAGAAGTAATATATTACATACAGAAGGAATAACTTTTTAAAATAGTCTAATATTTCAGGAAGAAAAAGCAAAGATATAACCTTTCCTTGGCCATGTGGCACGAACACAGTACACTGTCAACAGTACAATGATATTCAGGCAAGGTAATGTGAAGGCAGAGCAATGTCAAAATAATCTTCTATGTGACTTTTTCAAACAATTAAGCATGTTGTTATATAAAGTTGAATCAAGTATCCTGCCAGAATGTCAGGTCATTGTAATTTAGCAGATTTGTTTTTCTAATTGTAAATATTTTCTAAAAAGTATTTGTAATATTAATATTTTTGTTTGTTTCCCTAGTCCACTCACAGTTTTCAGAGATCTTCTCAGGTGAAACTGGTATCTTCATTTGGTATACAGTATAAGTAGGAATAGCATACGTGGCAGGACAGATATACTATTATTTCTTTCAGCTTTATATTATCTGGTGGTTTCATTGAGACAAATTAATGAATTCTGAGATCCAGAAATCTATTTTAATTACATACATCTTTGCTTTTCTGTGCTGCATATGGTCAGGTAAGCTTGAATGTGATGGAGACCAGGAAACGTAGCCAAGGTTGAAAGAAATGCAGAGTCTTGTGCCTACAGTACTTATCTGGTTGCAAAAGCTAAGTTAATTCAGTTCAGTAAACAAACCCCATCCTGAACCCCTCTGATTCACAGCAGTTCTCCTTCATCACAGCAATTAAGCTTGAAAATAGGTCTTTTATGGTATGTATGTATATTTCATTTCTAACTGCAGCAGGGCGAGTTGGTAGCTGGGGACATTAGATTTAACCCTCCCATCCCTACAATTTTCCTACAATCCCTACAATACAATTTTCCAAACTGCATCCCCCTCCCCCCTGCAGGTTCATTTATGTTCAATAGGCTTCAGCAGGAGTTTTTTTTAGCCTTAATTCAGCACTGAGGAGACCTGTGCGTGTACTTATATAAGTGTATGCATACAAACGTAAGTGTGAGAGAGAGACAGCATATGGGCATGTATGTTTAGAGAGACAGGCAGATAGAAGCATCAGAAAGGATCTATGGTATGCAAATCAGGCTTGGCCAACTTTTAGCCCTGACCATGAC